AATTTTGACAACCACCCTTTTGTTTTTTGGTCAAGATGCGTCCGTGAGCTCCTGGCTTGGTACAGGAGAGCTCCTGCAAAGATCAGCTATTGCTGGATGCAAACTTCAGACTGCATATGCTGGGCATGACGCTGGTGCAGAAGGACATACAGCTTGGCCTGAGGTCGTGGGCTTATGCAGGTCAGTCTCGCGACTGCCGAGTGGCACATTTTGCACCCAAGTCATGCAGCACAGCAGCAGCTGAGGTAGATCATCACGAGTCTTGAGTCTGGCAGCAGACGTTTGATCCGAGTCAACCTGTAGCTACAGCTAGGGGCGAAGATGCTTCTAAGTCCGAATCGGATACATAGATGCATGTAGCTGTTGCAGATGGATTTAATGGTTCTTTTAGCCTTTATGATTTCGCTGTGTTATTGGTAGTCACCCCTGACTCCAGGGGTGGCTCTGAAATACAAGTTCCGGCTGTGTAGTTTTCCAGCACAGGCCGCAATTTCTCAACGCGATGCAGGGCCCAGCTCTCTTTTCGTCCTATTTCCTGTCTGGTCGTTATTTTTGTAAGACTTGACATTTTCGAGACTTCAGTGAAATCCTTTAAGCTACTGCTTACTGGAGCTGGCCCGTGGCATAGCATCACGTGCTGATTTCTAAAGGCTTGTCCTCGTCTGTATCCAGTGCGGCGCGTTAAGGGGGGCACTGCTTGACGCCATGCGCTACCAAGACCCTAAGCCCTAAACCCCANNTAAACCCCAAACCCTAAACCCCCGCAAGCTCCGAGAAGTATCTGCGTCGTTGCCCCCCTCACCCTGTCCGCAAGGCGGTGCAATACATGTAAACAGCAGTTTCACCTCCACGGCATCATGCAATGTGGGCTTTAAACACCCCCGTCGTAGATCGCCTTCATCCCTGAACCCTCACGTTCGTCCATGGTCGTACAAGCCTTGAGCTCACGACCCAGCGGCTGCAGTGGCTGCAGGTAGCCCTCGGGCAAGATCAAGTGGAGAGCCTCCAGCGTCAGATCCAGGCCTATCGCGCTATACGTGCACATTGTGCACTTGAGTGTTGTCTTTTGCACGCTCCTTAATGGGCCTTTTTGGCTGGTTGTTAGACTATGTGATGATTGGTCTAAATTCCCTATAATA